AAGGATGGACACATCTCTAACTTGAGTAGCGGAACAAGCTGTAGTAAGGTATCACATCAAAGTCTGACCCACTAGAAATGGTAGATGATATGAAAACACTCACTTAATTTTAAAGTACTTGCTCTTTAGGTCTGCTGAAGTGATTAGTCACCTTTTTGGTTTCTGTTTAACTGTCTGATTGCTGACACAGCGTATTTTTTTGTTCAAGGTTTTTCATATCAAAGTAAATTACAAGATACAGGATGGATTTGTTTTGTGAACATCCCTTTTACAGTCAAAACTTCACATGCTGCTGGAGTATGTCTGTTTTCACCAGAACTATGACTATGCTAGAAAGGAACTCTTCTTAAAACTTGTAATTGAGTCAAGTCTGGAAATTAATAATGCCGGCCGAGTGCTACAAGTGCATACGATAATTACTTGAATGCTTGCTAAAAGTTGTGGAGTGGCTGGAAGCAAATAGGCACGTTGTGAGCAATCCAGACCGAGGGGCCTCACAACCACAGCTGTTGTGAAGGACATATGCAAGGTCGAAGGAGATAAGGAAATTGGGATTTTGAGAAACTGCCTATGTTGCAAAGAGGTAAGGAGGTTGGAATGTAAAAAAGAAGATAACAAGATGCATAAACAGAATGTAGGTACGGCAGAGCAAGGCGTGTGAACGAGCAGCTTTAAGCTATTAGCAACCAAAACGTAACACGTGCGCTTTGTGCTAGTGTAGAAATTGCTGTGTATCCTTTAATAAAGTGGCATTAACTTGATCACATTGATCGTGCATGTTGTGTCCGAGACTTCCGCGTTACCACCTGCACTAAGCAATCCCTGTCTGTCTCCTTCCTTTCCCTGGGAACACACAAACACTAATCAGAGCCAGAACAGCGCTTTTAGGCTCACGGCGAGAACTTCTCACAGAAAGCGCTAGCACGTACGATCGTCGCTGTACAGCAGCCTCCCCTCCAAACTGCCACGGTACGCTAAGCCATCCAGCTCTCTCTGCTTCCTTTGCCTAGGAACACACAAACACTACGCAGAGGCTGTACAAGCTCTTTTAGGTTCCTGGCGAACTTAAACTGCTTTGTGCTTATATTGTCTGTAAATGTGGCTCGAGTGATGCCCAGCAACTTGGTGAATCGTATTGTTTATTATTTACCTATTTTAGGAGGGTGGGGTATTAATCCCATATGACTTTCTGCTTTTTTACATTGGTTTATACTTGGCTTTCACTAGTGTGACATTCATCTGTAACCCTGTGGTCAGTCTGCTGTGAAAATAACCCTAATGTATTGTATATTCTGTATCCTGTAGGCAAAGATGAAGCATTGTTTGAAGCATGGTGAAAACTGTCCGATTCTCAACAGCAGGTATGTCAGTGGGTTTTGGTGAAGCTCTGATCTAATTGGAAAATTACAAACTGGAGTCAAAATTAATAAATTCATAGGAAATCTTGAACTCGGTTGCTCAAAATATAATACTGAGGACAATACTCTGAGATCTTATTTGTACGCCTTGAAAAAGATTGTCATTACTTTTATTCCAGTAGTGACCATTTCTTTCAGTGTTGATGAAATGTGAGTCAGTGGGATGGGATGGAAGTTCTGTATGCCTGGAAATGGATGCTGAGCGGCACCTAGGGAGAAGGTGGAATAATCTGCAACATTTTTTTTTTTTTCTAATAATACTTATTTTTAAATGCCAGCATAGTAATTTGCTGCTCATGGAAAGACTTTGGACAGGTAAAAGCAACAGAAATCTACAGGTAATGTGCACGCAGTAATTTATTAATTTTGGTTGTCTTGAGGATACTTTTTTGCCAGCTTTCTCAGTGTATTGAAATACGAACCTGCAGATGGGGGTATTGAAAATTGGAGGAGTGCTATACTGAAATCTAATCTAAACCTCCCAATTTTCAAGTATTCTGTACCTTACCGTCCTTCCTCCTGAATGCCCTTCTTCCAGATTGTTTTGAATGAGTTCTTAGAACATGCACTATGTTCATGTTTTTTTCTGTAGAAAAAGAATTTGAAATAGTTCTGCAGAAATACCTGTTGCTGTTTCTTACCTAAGCCATCTCTCTCAGACTAGTACTCCCATAAAAAGCCTTAGCTGTTAGTAGTCGTACTGAATACACTTCCTCTTCAGGGATGTCAATCTGTTGACATAACCACAGTTCAATACTAAGGTTTTGTATTTTTATGTTGGATGTTTTTTCAATTTTCTGAAGGTGAAAGTGGACGCCTGGGATGTGCACTACACGGGTCTTGTAGTAAGTCACCTCTGTATCAAAGAGGAGGATGTGACATGGCAGTTATCCTGACAAAGCCCCTTCTGTAACTGTTGATACCTTCTTTTCTCCCAGCCATACGTGCAGCTTGCTGAAGATGATAAGGTTCGGTACGAGAATGAAATGCAGTTGTGGGAAGCAAAAGTGGTCAAACTTGGATGCGAAGACCTGATACGTTCCAGAAAGCCACAGCCAGAAAAGAAAACTGCTGAAACCTGTAAACAAAGCTGAAACAGCCAAAGCTTCTTCATGTGAAAACGAGGCAAAGTTAAAGTTGAAAAAATCGGAAGAGTGAAATGGTTAAGTATTTTATATGTGATGCCCTTTGGTTGTCATGTCTTTGTCCTGCTGTGTTAATGCTGCAGTCTGCATTAGCACCAAAATTTGGAGAACCCATAAAGGGCCCATTGGAGAAGTAGAAAAGATGATCAGGTAGGAGAGGATGCGGTATCTCTCAGACCTGACTGAAATAATCATTGCAGGTGTAGCCTCAACTGTACAACAGTAACTGGTTAATCAAGCTGTGAATAGTGATACTCACTGACATCAGCAGAGCTCTCCAGTAATGGTAGATAACGGCTAGCTTTTACAAGATATTTTGAATGAAAGCAAGAATATTCTGCAATGTTACCATCTAAATGCTGTAAATAAGAGCTGAAATCTGAGTTAATGCTGCTGTGTTTTATTCCCTCCGTGGTATTGGTAGCGAAACGCTCTACGTTTCAACAAAAGGCACAGGGAAGGTAAAATACTAACTTTTATTTCATGCATCTTTTTGTACAAATCAATCAGTGTATACCACTTGTGTTGCATTTCATTAAAGACCATATGAGTTTTGTGTAAACGTATCTTTACAGGACTTTTATTCCATGGCTTTGTTTGGATACATGCAAACACTTTTGCCTTCCTATTGTCACCTTTGGGACAGCCTGGAAGGAAGAGACTGTGTGTGAACTGTTAGAACTTTGAGTTTGGATGTAATAAATGTAGGTTTGTTTTTTTTTTTTTTTTTAACGCTGTCTCTGAAATCCATCTGGTGAATAAATCATGTAACTCCAGAAGTGTCACTTCTTTGCTTCAGATCCCAGTGAAAGATATTGAAGACTTTGAAAAGAGCTAGCTATTATCAAAGCAGCATAGTGGATTTTGAGGGTGACCTGGACAGAATAATGGAGTCTGTGTTGTGCGTGGACTATACAGATGAACCAAGAATACAGAAAGTCGTAGAAAAAGCCATTGACGTGGAGAAGTCCCATTCTACAAAGGTTTTGTAAGAGAGTCGAAGCAGAAAATGATTGCGAGAAAAAGGCGGGTAGGTTATATCAATCCGGGACCAAAGGGAAGCATATTTTTTATGCTAAGCTTTTAATCTTCCTTGTTAGAAATAAAATGGAACTGTTCTTGAGGCAAATGTTTGCCACAGGATTTCTGGGTTACAGATCTTGCTCTGTGTCTTTGACTTTCACATTTGTGCACCTGTGTTCTCCACCCTTCCCCCCCCCCCCCCCAAATTGTTGTGAAAGGCTTTTGAGCTGTGATAGGCTGCTGCCAATCTTTATTCCTTTGTTTTATTATTAATTCTTTATTTTATTATTATACACAATGGCTTATTACAGTTTAGCATGTCCCTGCATTTATTTACACAGCTATGAGTTGCTGGAGTTCAGTGTACATGTGTAGAAATATGTTATGCTCGCCTTCTGGCGAGTGTGAAATAACATGCTGGACTAAATGGACCTCTTCTTCAATGTGGGGTTTTTTGAACACTTTGTAGATCTTACATGCACATCGCAGTAACCGTTCTCTAAGTTAAAGAAAGATGTAATAGCTGCCAAGACAAAAAAAGTGTGGGTGGGGGGAACAGGGATAGGCATAGACATCACATTCAGCATTGTGAAACAACAAAAAACTGTCCCGCTCTACTAAAGCCAGAATGGTCTTTTCTTTCACCAGTTTGTCATCTGTGGCCAAATTTGGAAACTGATTTGTGTTTCCTTGCAGCTAGTTGTATACAGATTTAAAAAAAAAAAAAAAAAAAAAAAGTTTGCATAACTATTATAAGACTTTGTCAAATAACTTGCGAAACTACTTGTTAAAAAACTAGTTTGCTATTTTAGGCAGAAAAAGAAGCTAGAGAGGCAGAAGAGACTAAAGCTGAACTGGGCCTTGGTGGAGAAGATGATTTGAAAGCGCTGATTCAAGTAAGGCTTTTTCTATCTGCTGAAGAGAAGCATGTTACTGGCCTATAATTCTGTTCTCCCTGAGCCTCTTTGTAGTTTGGATCCTTGCAACTTGAGAGTTCTGAGGTTAAAACCTGACCTTAATGTTAGCTACCTATGTACTTTACTTAATAGTCAGTGTGGTATGGATTTTACTGCCTGCGTCTTTTGAAATTAACAAAGTTATTCAAAATATCCTTATGGCATACACAATCAAAATATTTAACTTCTAGTTTTAGCTAGTTATACAGGGAGTATTAATGATTCTTTCTCTGAGGGATTCCATCAGGATGTAGAAGCTGATAGGTCTTACTGTTTTGTATCTTGAGGACCGAGGGAAAGACAACATACTGTTTACGTTCTGCTTTTTGGAATGTTTTCTGTTTCTCATCATCCAGTGGGCTTCCTAGAACATTCGTGCTTAATCATTCCCTAAACTGTAGAAGAGTTTTGGGTCTAAACTTAGAATTGTTTTGCTTTTCCTAGGCTTATGTTGGGAATTTTTATAGCCACTTTACGTCTGTCTCGATACTTCAGGAGAAGTTAGGTATAGAGCCTAGAGTACACAAGTAGAATTTTGCTTGATGGTACTATACTTTGTATTGTATTATATTTGTATTGTATTATATTGCTTGCATTCCCTGTTTAATATATTCCAATATTTTATGTAGCTGTCATACTATCAACTTCAACAGAATAATCTGTACTAGGAAGTAGTAAAAGTTTTGGGTCGGTTTTCTTTTTTAATTTCCTTTCCCCCAGAGCAGAAATAAAGATCGAAAAAAGGAAAATGGATGACTTTTTGGCCCAACTGTAAGCAAAATACGGGAGAAATGCTAAAAAAGGAGAAAAGACGACTGCAGCCAAGAAAGGAAAGAAATAAAGAACTGTGTAGGCTGAGATACCAGGTATCATTTTGTATGGGATCACAGTGGATTTGGGAGCATTTCAGAGTTTTTCTGGGCTACTGTTTCAGAGCTGTGTGCATCAGTTTGCTGTGACTGGGAGGTATGATACAGAATGCATCATGAACAAGACAAAGCATTCTGGTGCTACTCTTTAAAAATCCTTTGGGTGCTCTTCGGTTAGGATCAAACAGATTCCTGAGTAAAAGTTGTTACAGTAAGGAAGCGGTGTGAGGTTTGGGACCATGGTGCTGTTTATTAAACTTCTTTGGAAGCACCTTCCTTCCAAACACCTAATGGATATTGGTACAGTTGATGGTAAAACGGTGTAACCCCTCACCTTTGAGAGTCTTCAGTGGCGATTCCTGCGGTTTCCGAGTTGAAAACCTTATCTTTTTGCTAGTCACACTTTTCTTACGTAACAAACCTTCTGCTGTTTTTTAAAAGTCTTTGAACTTCAGCTCAACAGGTATTTTCAGTGGTTTTCTGAAGATACTTTGGAATATTGCAGATTTAATAGAGGAAAAGTTTTCATAGAATTCTGTGCTAAGTTGCTTCCCCAGCCCTCTCTACGTTTTCTATGTAGCTGTTCAAAACTCTTCTGACTGATTTAAGTCAAGTAAATACTGCACACTTGTATAGCAGCTGTAACTATGGCTGCATTGTTAACTGCGATGTCAGTGCTGGTGATGCCATGTTCCATGAAAGGGCCAGCTCCTGTTTGGCCTTGGATTGCCTGTGGCAGATGCCTTAGGAAGAAGACTGCAGCATGTATGTCACTGTAGGAATCCTCTGACACACTGAGGTGAGGCAATAGCTGAAAAGTCTACAGGAGAGAGTCAGTTCTGTGCATTTCTAGGGTTTGTGATGTCCCGTGACAAGGAGTTCCAAAGCTCAGAAATGCATTGCTTGTTATTTCAATAACATCACAGTCAACTCTGCTGTAGGGTGGTAGCGATTAGCTACTTCACTATATTTGTCAACCCTTCTGTTATTTCAGAAGTGAATTCCTTAAGTAGGATCTGCAAATACTTGAAAGGTTTATGCTTCAGCTGGTTTTAAAAACCCCCTGACAGTGTGTGGGGGTATGAATTTGAAGGGTAATTAACTAGTTTTCAACTCTGTCTCAAAGGGATGAGGCTGGCTTTATTTTGTGGATCATTTTTCAGAGGCTTATGAGCGACAAGGGGAACACTTCCATTTGAGCTGAAAGTCCTCACTGCTTCGGTGATAGCATTCAGGAGCTGGCTATTAATAGAGCTTCCCAGGGGGAAGCTAGAGGTAGATGGTAACTATTCCTTTACGCGGCTTCTTTCAAAAATTATCCTGATTCTGAGAGTACAGCATATCTCTATGTTGCACAACACATGGACCTGAACGTTACTTTTACTGTACAAAATAGATACCTACCAGCCCAGAAGTCTCGTGTCAACCATTTGTACAGAAACCAAAAATTACCTTATGATGAGACTGCTTTCACTTTTTTAACACACTGACTCCTCTTAGATATAAAATACTACATTATATTACTAGAAGTCTGTTCAAGTTTATTTATATATTTTTGTAACTCTTGTGCACTAGGGCCTACAGAAAACTAACTTGCTCCCTGAGGAATGGCACCGATATAAAGGGGATGCTTATCTCCAGTGAGCTTGATGTAACTAAATGCCACACTGTACAATGTACCAGTAATGTCAGCTGTTAAAAGAAATTGTATTTTGAAAGGGTTTAGTGAACAGAGGCCTCTCTTTATCATCAGTTTGCCTCTATGCAAACCCAAGAGATTTCAACTAAGACCAAAGCTTTTTTGTTTTTTTTTTTCACCCCTCTAAAAATGCAAAGGAAAGCTAATTTAGTTACATTTGCACAGTTCTGCTTTGCTTTCTTTTCCCTTCTTTTGAGTAAAGCATGCTTGGATCAACTGGACTCAATAACTTCAATATTGATTAAAAATTATTAGCTGTTCTGTAGGTACCACTAACATTCGATAGCTTACATAACAGAGTGGGATAGTAGGAGCTACTTCCTGAAGAATACTGAGTAGTTTTTTTCATTATGAATTGTAATTTAGAAAACATTAATAAGGGAAATTTAGAAAGAAAGTGCTTTTTAATTGGACAACTTTTTAAAGGAGAAACTGTTTTCATGCAGCGTCCTAATTTTGTTGAAATACATGAAGTGGTTATCCTCACCTCGTCTGTACGCTTATTGTCATCTGGAGTTTACTGTTTGGGAGTAAGACCTTCAGCTAATCACTTAGAAGCATGTATTTCATGTTTTTGTCTAATTTGGAGCCACAAGGGCAACTGCAGCAAATACCACTGATACATCTGTCACAGTGCAGAACCCATCTACTAACAACGTCGTTGCATCTGTGGGTTTGGAGCCTCATGGCAGAGTGCAGAAATCTTTGGTAATTGCAGGCATTTTTAGAAAGGGAGACTAAACCTATTTTGCAAAATTACCATGAAATATCCCGCCAGGAAGACAATGTACTTTCTTTGAATACTGTCTGGAACTACTTGCAGTAAGAGTCCCTTCTGCCTCTTCCACCTTCAGTCAGTGAGGAAGAGGTCCAAGTATGTAACACAGGAAGAGTCACTAGTGTGCTACCCTTAAAGTCATCAGTTCTGCTCAGCTGGTTTGCTACCTTATTTTTATACAACTGCGTTGATATCTGCTGCAGTTATTACAGGATTCGTAACTTGTCTAAGTTGAGTTGTAGAAGCAGCAACGTGTAGTGCTTGCTTTTGATAGTATAATGTTGCTTTAAACATATAAATACAGCCTTTTAACATTGAAATTACTGCTGTTATGGAAATCTTTCATCTTCTGTAGAGCTAACAGAAAATTGGCAGATTCTGCAGTACTTGCCTGTAACAAGATGAACAGGTCATAAGCCAGTAATGGGAACACAACAGTGGCTGAGTGTGTTGTTTGGATTTGTAGGAGTTAGGCTTTAGTGCCCACTGGAGTGCATTTACCCTTCCATTGGAGTATAACTACTTCTACTGGTGGCAAATGGAATGTTTTAAGTATACCCCTTCTAATCTTTGGCAACTGCTTCTTAGATTGATAAAACATAACTAACTATTCATAAGGATGGGTGTTTGAAGACTCTGCTGTAAACAATGTTGACATTGCTGAGAATGAGAGCTGGTGCATGACTCTGGCCATGGATGGACACTTCTTCATGGCACGTTTAGAACCCTGTTTGCTTTTTGTGACTGATCCACCTTGACTGTGGGCTTTCAGAGAACCATGCAGCTGAAGACCTAATAAACAGAGATCATGTACAACTTTAGGACTTTTGAAAGGTATTAAAACTAAGTACCAAATACATCTCCTTTAGCTTAAAACTAAAATGCTTTTCTTTGTTGGTGTTTTTTAGTTTTGTTTTTGTTTTTTTTTTTAATTCTAATATCAACTGTGTTACGTATGACTTAGGCAAGTTTGAGACAAGTGCCTGGCCATCCAAAAGGGGCAAATTTTATGCTTCACAGTTGCTGCATTGCAGGCAGCTACTGTATTCCTTGATATTTCATGAAGTGCTCAAGTCTATGAAGTTCTTCTGCTGAATTCAATTTTTTTTTTTTGTTAATACATCAGTCAAAACTCAGCTTGCATTTAAAGATATTGGGGTTGGATTTTTGGGGTGGGGGAGGGAGCAGGTTTCAGTAGGAACCATTCCTGTCTTGCTTAAAAACCAGTTACTTCAGTTTAGTGCCTTTCAGTGGCCTCTTGTACCACTTGTAAGTGGTAGGAGGCCGCTCAGCTACTCAACAAGCTAAAAGACCCCTCCTGTCCTCTGACAGTCACCCAGGTACTTGCTACCTTAACCCTTGCAGCTTCCATTAACTTTTGCAGCTTCACTCCTATCTTGTTAGTGTATTTTTATGTGGGGAATGCTGACAACTCTACAAGGAGTCCCAAACCACTGCGATGAAATGAATCCAGCGTCATTTGTCTTGACGGAGCTAGTTTTCAGAACGTGCACCTAACCCCTGCTCTCTGTGCCACCCTTTCCAGGTGGAGGTGATACTTGGCATCAAAACAAAGTTAAGTTAACAGGGAGTGCTTAAAAAAAAAGCGGTTCCGGGGCACAAAAGTTAACTTTTTCTCTCCTGTAGTCTCTGAACAAACTCCCTTTCACCTGACTAGACTAGAGCTTGTGTGTGCCATGAGGTAAAAAACCTAAATCTCTGCTGGTAAAGTTGAAAGAAGTAAGGTTCATTGGTTGACTGTAACACTGGCGTACACGCGTGCAACTAGTCTTGTCTGCAGTAGACTTTCATTCTGCAGCCACATCAGCTTGCTGTGGGTGATTGCTAGTCACAGAGTTTCTTGGCAATGGATTTAAATGAAAGGAACTTACTTTTTCATTACCAAAGATTTGTTTAATTTTTTTTTTTTTTTTCCCCCACAAGGCTCTTAAAAGAAAAGGGGTGTAACACAACGCAGGAATTAATTGCAAACCTGTATCTTGACTATCAGGGCCATATTTTCCTTTCAATTGAGGGAACAGACGGAGTGAGGAAGTCGATAGTGTTACATTCAGTTCTTAGGATGGGGAACCACCAGAGGTCATGTATAGCACCTGAAACAATGCTTTTCAGTTCCTGTCCTGTTCTTCAGCAGTTAAATTATGCTGATTCTCCTGAAGCAAATCTCTAGTTGAAGAGAAATGTTTGCTATTAGTGTTATTAAGAAAACCAAATACATTGGACCAAACGTGTTGCAGTTAAAAATAGGGAGGTTTTTTATTTACTGGTTGGATCATGGTCTGTGGCATCTGTATTTACCTCATCTCCCATTTAAAAAAAAATGCTGCTGTTTTCTGTATTATTTCTCTATTTGTTGCTCGGTATTCTCTATGTTTAAACATGTGCATTTGTATATTAAATTAAATTTTTGGCTGCCTAGTGCTGTGACTGTTCTGATCCTGTCTGATGAGACTCTTGCTACCTGCCAGGTGTTCCTTTACAAAGGAGAGCTGCACCTCATCCCGCTGTCAGAGACCCAGGAGCAGGAATGTGACCTATCTGCCACCACTCTGACAGTCTCGCAGGCGGTGACGCTGTTGTCCACCTGTTCAGAGGAGTTCCTGGCTGCAGAGCCCATCCCAACAGCAGTGTAGAAGCGCATCAGTGGGTATGTGGGTGTTTCACTTTGGTCTTGTGCAACAGTGAGTTTTGATTCTGGGCTGTCTGGGGTGCTTTCTTGTATCCAGTCGTTTTCCTGTTAGGTGTGATAAAGTGGCTTCCTTTTCAGAAACTAGTGTTTTTTCTGTGGTCTTCTTCTGAAGAGGGGGACCAGTGCCCTGTGGGCTGTGCTGTGATCTGGGGGCTCTGGAACTGGTTCACTGCTGTGATGCCACACCTGACAAGGACAAGTTATTCTGCCTTCACATCCTTCTTGTACTGAAAAGTCTGGAAGTTCTGTGGGCCTTTAGGAGCCCTTTGAGGAGGGAGAAAAAGGATTGCAAACTAAAGTGTAGAACCATCACGCTTTTCAGAGCGATAGCTTCCCACAGGTCTATTCAGCACCATAAGTTATTTTTTGCAAGGATTTGACAGCACGAGCCAGATGACTTCTACACCCTGGTGCAGCTGAAGGATGCTGTGTAGCAGGACATGTTAGTCAAGTTCACAGTGATTCATTTTACCAATGTGGGGATGAAATTTTTATTAGCCATGTATAGTTCTGTATAAACAGACATGCCAGGTGTTAGATTAGCGGAGTTTTAACTTTAGTTTAGAATAATCATCTGGCATTTGGCCTATAATACAGATTAGTATTAAAGTGAAAGTGGGAATATTAGCTTAAAGAGTGGTTTCAGCTTGCGATGCACTTACTACACTATGTTGTTATTGTACAATGCAGGTATCCTGAGAAAATTCAGGCCTCATTTCACCTGAGCCCACTGCTACCTTCCAGCAGGCATTGTGGCAGTGCTGAGGCAGTGCCCTTCGTTGGTGGCTGCAGCAGTCCAGGCCTTTCACCTGCGAGAGCCTGTGGATTTACGAGCGTGTGGCTCTTTTCAGACTTTCCCTCCAGACGAGCGTGTGGTGACCATAGTAAGTGATCCTTCTGATGAAACTTGTCACTGAATTAGGTTCTGTAAGTGACGAAGGTTCTGTGGTCAAGTGATACAACTATGTGGATTTAATTGTTAAAATAGAATGTTTTCTGATTTATTTTTTAATTTTGACACTAGACATGCATTTCCAGTTCTTTATGTTAAATAGCTTTTCTGCCTTCAGATTGGCATAGCTAGGCTTTCAAATGGCTAATCAGAAGTGCTTCTGAAATCAGAGGTTACTGTTAGTAGCTCCTCTGCTGGAATGCTCACTAAGGAAATTCATCCAGTTCCGTGATCAGAGCAGTCTGACAGCACTGCCAGCCAACACCAGGAGTTGCTCCTAACTACCCCTAGGTGTTCATTCCAAGGCTTTTCCCCTTCTCAGCCATGCTTACGCAGCTCTGTGAAAGCTACTTTAGGAAGTGGTTTATGTTCCTTGTCCAAGCAGTGTTGTATTGGATATGTTTGCATAACAGTTATACCGCTAGGCTCCTGAAAATAAAGTTTGGGAGTCAAATTGTAGATTTCTTGACTGTTTTTGAAATCTCGGCTTTGGTTTTGTTAATTGAAAAGAGCCCTTACATTTTTCAAAATATACCATGGTGGCCTGAATACTGAGGATCTTTTTAAATGTCTTTAAACTGAATGAAGTTCGTGTTTATTTAGAGATGTCAACTTGGAATATACTTCATTAGATCTGAAAAGCAACATATCTTAAGCAAACGTATCGAAGATGTATTTTGATTACAATCTCAGGTATATGGGTGATTTAAAACAAAATTCAGAGAAAGCTGGTGGAAAGTTGATGCCTGTACACAGCACAGTCACACTGCAGTAAGTTATTTTCTTTTGCTGGGGCTTTTTCAGGTTACTTCACAGTGTGTTTATATGCACAGCTGGTGCAGCGGAAGTTTGTTCTGGATAGATGCAGTGGATACACGCTGCCCCTCCCATCTCACCCTCAATACAAAGCCTATGAACTGGGCATGAAGCTGGTAATTACTTTTTATGCATTTTGTACTTAGTCTTTAGTTTGCTTGTTTACCTATGTCCAAGAAATTACTCTGCCTGTAAGTTGCCTGCTTGCACAGAATAATGCGAGCAAATCCAGTTACCATTTTTCTGGAAGTACATTATTGTGGGAGCTTTCTTTTACAGGCTAGAGCACTCTTGTACTTATATAGCTTACAAGTACAGGTCAAGCCTTCATGCTTGTATGAGGAGTAGCTTGTGCACTACAGATCTGTCTTCTAGGTTGCTTTTCCCATGTAGAGAAACTTTGCGAAGTCAGAATGAACCATTATTGCTGCAGAAAGACAGATTTCAACTTCCAAAGCAAGATACTGCTCCCTGACATTGGGTTTGGCACCTACTTCTCAAGTGGCAGTATCAGGAGCTCGATGGCAGTCAGTTCTTTACGCGGTCATTTAAAGGTGCACTTAAATTGGCACATCTGGAGAGTCTCATGTTGTTGCATCTCTTATACCGGCCCATGGCTTTGAAATTTTGTGCTCCAAGTGCAGTAAAGTATCTCCTGATTCCAAGAGAAATGTGTTAAGCGGTCCCCTGTGGGCGAGATTCCTCAGCAACCCGAAGGAAAAGAATTATTTCAAGGTGTAGTTGTGTGTGTGTGTGTTTGTCTTTTAAACATGCCAGGAAGAACATGTTGTAGCTCTTGAACTTGTGTAAGTAGTTACAGCAGGGCAAGAAATCTGTTGCTTCTGTCTGTGGGAAATTAATGGATGTCTCTCCAGGAGATCTGTGCAGTTTGTTCCCCTTTGAAATGAGTTAATTTCTTTTGGAAATTAAAAAGGAAAAGGCAGGATTTGGGGATGAATTTATTCATCTAAAGAAAGTGGAAATACACTCGAATAAAGGAAACCACAGTGTGGCTGTGTGTCAGTATAACTGTTTTAACTGTTTTACATTTCATTTGCATGCATTTAGAATTAAATATTCTTTAAGATCTATACTTAACACCCATCGATACATTTGGGGCCATGTAAGTGTATTTTTTGTTTGTGTGGGGTTTTTTGTTTTGTTCTAAAAGATGCCTTTGACTGCTTATTTAAAGTTTACAAATTGGTCATAAATTGACTACTTATTTGAAGGTTATAGAATCGGACAACTCGGAATGCTTAGGTTAATATCTTGTAAATATAAGAGAAGGGGAATATGCTTACAGTACTGCAATGCCACTCGTATGGGTAGTTCCCCAAAACCAAGAGATTCATTCACAATCCTTGCACAATTGTAACTTGGGCATGGTAAATACACCGTGTTGTAAGGATCAGTAATTTCTTCGATTGTTTTTAGTGTACACCATATGATATTGTAGCACAAGACTTCAACTCATATTTAACAGTGAAAACACCTTATGCCCCTTTCCTATATTCTGTTCCAAGCATACGTGGCACAGCAGTATTACTTGTTTGGATTTTTCTCAGAACTAAATTTCTGTCTGACAAATAGTCATTGTTACAAAGCATGTCTGTGGAAAGGAAGGGGAGGGAGAATTCTTTAGATTCATACTTGTGGCTTGCATTAAATAAGGAGAAATGGAAGGATCTGCTAAATACTTGGAAGTGCTGCACAGGGCAGAAGATTACTTCCAACAGTCTGTTACCAAGCCAGAAAGGTAAGAGATCCTTGAAATTCATGAGTAACCATACACAGTACCTGCAAGTACTTCAATTTACCTTTTTTAATACTTGTTACAAAAAACCTGAACCCTTTTCTCCACTGTACACTTAACATAGGTGCTGTGGCTAAGACATAGGGGTATTAATTCCTCTAGAATACTCTACTAGTAGAAGTTACTGCTTTAGTAACTATTTATCTTGGTTTTGTAAAATGCTAAGCTATTCCAAGTGGGTTAAGAGGTGACTGAAAAGCATCATTTGGCTGGTTGGTTGTAGAAAGTGTTTAAAAGCTTAATTGAAAATCAGTCTTAGTGAATAAGAAATATGGATTAATCTGTCTCCTTTACTTACGAGAGGCAGCTGGCTGTAGATTTCTCCAAAAGATCAAATCCAAAAAATAAATCATTACAAAAATATCTGAGGGTTTGCCAACTCATAATATCTTGACTGTTAGTTGCTTGAGTTTCCAGTCTTGTGCTGTTTGGGATCTGGCAGTCGTAATGTTTACCAAGACAAAATAAATATAAATAACAAAAGAAGCATGAGAAATTTGCTTTGGAGCCATCAACAAGGAATAACAGTAACTGACTGTGTCATGGTTTGGCTAATACTATTGGTGTAGTATTCTGGTACTTCCCCCAGATTCACTTACCTTTTTGATGTCTTTGCACAGAAGGAATCGTGAGGAATTGGAGTGAAAACTTTCGTGTAGTGTCTGTGATGCCACTGGTATTGTAATGCTAGTAAAAATCCATTTCAGTAAATGGCATTTTTTTCTTCTAGCTCTTTTGAAGTGAGCCCAGGTGATGAAATCTTGACAGTGCTACAGACAACAACTGTTGATTTGAAGGAATTTGAGAGAGAAGCAGCTTGTCTTCCTCCAGAGGATGGTGAGCCGGATGGGGGGTGGACTATTCCTATCACAAATGAGTATTTGTTGGGGAAGAGGGTGAATGTTCACAGCACTGCACCAGTCTCTTTATTGATTTAGTCTCCTATCATGTGACTGCTGGAGGTGTTATTCATGGGCCATCATTTAAGATTAAGGCAACCAGTTCGTTTGTATAAGCTCGGGGCTGTGAATTGGCGAAATACGCAGTCCAGTTTCTGGTTTGATACCACTAGATTGATAACACCATGCACACTTATACCAGATCAAGTGCTCTGTGTCAACTGGAGACCAGACAGGAGGTATTTAAACATTTAAGAATAATAATAAATCAGTTCCAGTACTGGCAATACAAAGTTAATTACTATCTGGTCTACTCTGATGGCCAATACAAGACCAGCATAAACTTTATATAATAGGTTCTTTTCACTCATGTCACAGGAATGCAGTTGTTGCCAGCGTGCAGCACAGGTCACATCTGTATTTCTGAATGATCCCTTAGCATGCAAATCCAACATTCAGCATTAATGATTGTAGTGGATGGTCTCCCTTTATAGTGTAAGCCTTTTCTTCGTTCATTTAGTGGCAGAAGGTTTACCTGTGGCTACAACAATTTCTGCTAGTTTGAAGCTGCATGTAAAGCAGAGTTTTAAAGTAGTCAAATGAAATCCGAACACTCTTCTCAGCCTCTCTCTGCCTTATACCCCGTGTTATTTTGTATCAGCACGAAAACTTAACAGTGCAAAAACAAGCTACAAAATGCTAGCAGTACTCTCAGCCATCTGGATTGGGTTTTGTGGCCATTGTGGGCTGACAGATTTGTGCCGAATAACAAATATGTCCTATATTCTTTCAGATGACAGTTGGCTGGAGATTACAGCAGGTGATCTAGATCAGATGCTGAAGGAGGCAAGAAATGAGTCCCTTCCTTCCTCAAATGAGGAAGAGCAGAAACACGACTTGGAAGCAGTTGCTGAAAGTATGAAGGCTTTTGTATCCAAAGTCTCACCACATGAAGGAGCAGAAATGCCACGGCAGTAGTATTTTTAAGTTTGGTGTGTGGTGTAGAATGTGTTTTCATTCTGCTGTAGCCCTTTGGTTGATTCTGTAATGCACAGAATCAACGTTTGAAAGCGTTCTGCGTAGCAGAGGCCTGAAACAAACCCCTGTTACCAGTGAATACGTAGTTGCTTTTAAACCAGTTTGGTCACCACTCTGACAGTGGTGCAGGTAAAAATGCTGGAAGCTGTGTTATTTTCCAGCACTCTTACTTAGTTTGGTTTTGTGGTTTTTAAAATTTTTTTAACCCTTTTAAATTGAAGGCTTGGTGTTATTCATTACGATAGCTCTTAGCACTGTTATTAAAATGCATATCTCAAGTTCATTTGTGCTGAAATTTTTCTGCCATGAAGGACTGTTCAGACTAAGATTCTACTGATGAAGCTGTGAAGAAATAAAAATGAAACTTAAGTTGGGGGAACCTGTGAATTAAGACTGTTGATTTTTGTGGTACAGTTGAATTTAGATTTCCTGTAGATTAGTATTTTGAATATACTAGGCCTGCTTTTCCACACCTAAAGCACATACTGTACACCTAGAAGCAGGAGCAAAGAATCGAATCACGGTGGATCCCTGTCATTGTTCCCAACAGTGGGAGTGCTAACTGAAGATACCTAACTAGTTAGGCAACAGCAGAATGCCGCTAGATTAAGTGCTGGAGTTAAGAAAGTGTGTGTGACTGTGGTGTGGACAGGCCTTTAATTTTAAAAAACAAAGGGTGAGGTAGGAGCATATTGTCCAAGTTCTTTTTAGTAGCTTTAATATTGAGAAAATAATGCTGTGTAGACTGTATCAAGCGTATAAGGGTCTACTCAATTTATACTCTTAATTGTTTGATCCTTTTTAATTACTGTTAGTGGCAATGTCTGAGTTATAATGTGGACTTTTTTCAGTTATTTAAAAAATAAAGGAACAAAAAAAAACAACAAAAAAAAGGGCAAACCGCTGAGCCTTAAAAGAGACTAGAATGAAGCCTGCAGTGTTCTTTCTAGGCAGGAGACCTCCAAGATTCTCAGCTTTTTAAATCTTTGTCTGAGGTGTAACACCACCACTTTGTTCCAGAAAGATTCAGGCATGTTTATTTTGGTTCCCTTCGGTGCAATTTTTATTTGACCACAACAAATGGTTAAAGTTGTTGGGTTTATTTTCTCTTTCATGCCAGGAACTCCTCCCGTTGCTGTTTCGTTCCTAGTTCATACAGGCCTCAGACTTCTAAGCACTTCCAAGACCATCAGTTGAAATGTTCCAACTTCAGTCTAGGCTCGAGAGAAATCTGTATGCTGTATGGGTTATGTCAGCTTATGCAAGCCTAAAAGCTTTATTTATTTAAAATTTTTTTTAGATATCAGGTCACCTGTTGAATCCCATGTTACCTTTGATGTAGATTCTTTTACAAAAGCGTTAGACAGAGTTTTAGGTGAGATTGCTTCTTTGTTTCTTTTGTCAGAATATCTCATGGTTATTTGGCTTTCCTGGGTCATCCATCAGTCACCCATGGTCGCTGTGCTGATTTGTTTGCTATCTGTACTGACACAAAATAATATATATGTAGGGGCAGACTCAGAAGAGCTGGATTCTGATGATCTGGATGAAGAGGAAGAGTTTGATTTCTCGAGTGAGGATGATGAAGACTTAGATGTGGAAGATCAAAGTCAAGACCAGAAGGTGCCACCTAATGAGCTTATAGGCAGTCTCAAGTCATACATGAGTGAGATGGACAGTGAACTGGCGCATAACAACGTTGGTAAAAGTTTCACCATCCAAAAGAAAGGGGTAAGTATGCCTCGAGTTCTAGTTTGTAGCATAAAGTTTTGAGAGCTTTAGTAGGAAAGAGGAAGTAGACTAAAAGTGATCATTCCGAGTAAAGTAATCAAAAACTTGTGTCTTCTAATCATGTGCTAACTGCTGGGCATGGTGAGCCGAGGACCTAGGCTAAGGAGGAAGAACGCAGCCGACTCAGTATGAGTGATAAAGCGTGCTTCAGTTTATTGATTTTCATTACAGCCTTTTATAATCCTTCTGCTAATTATGCCTACTAGTCAATCACTGATTGGATAAAATACAAGCAAGCTCGTGCCAGGGCTTGTTGGCCCAAGCTCTGGGAAAAACCCAGATAAGTTAGTTTAGGAGAAACAAAGAATGCTCATTTCTCCATCCTCCACTGATTAAAGAAGAACAAGGAATGTTTCCCAACCTTGACGAGATAGAGAATGTTCATCTCAAGACCTTAGTCAGTACTTTTCCACGTTGTTCACTCTTGCTGACTGAGGCCTACTCATGCTAACTTAAAAGAGGCTCTCGTCGCAAAGAGGATCTCTAGATCCATGTCCCTTTTCCCTTAGCCATTCTCCAACAGCTAACTAATTATTAAAAATAAAATGAAAATCACACGCGCAAGCAAAATGTGCTGCAGCTGCACCATGGTGTATTTTTCTGTGTGGGGGGGTGGGGGGTGGGAAGAAAACCATCTTAGGGAGGCTTTAACTTGCACATTGTTTCCAAGACTTAGTTTCATTTCCCTGTTTTACCCTGTGTCAGTAGTAAGGCAAGCAGCTGCAGCTTGACTATTTGAGTTCCTGTAGAAGATCACTCCCATAGGAAAGTGAGCCAGGACTCAGTAACCCTCTATGTCCTTCTCTTGGAACTTTATCTGTATAATGGAAAGTGATGATTTTTAACTGGCGTGCGCATTTGGTGACTAAATTCCTGTCTGTCAAGACAGTGTGGAAAAGTAATGGATATTGTAATTAGTTCTTAGAAATCACATGAACATGTAAGTGAATTGTGTATAAATATCATAAACTCCACTACGGTGGTGCGCATATTAGGAGGAATGATCCTCTAGGCGTCTGACAAGTGGAATAAAGAATACCTGCTTAATAGCTATTTTGGCTTTTGAGACTGAATTCTCGGCTTCATTTTGGCGACCCAGATGGGACAATCTCTGCCTGGCTGCTTGACTCGTTGAGAGGATGACTCCCTGGGATACCCCCGGAGATTTCTCTTGGAGGGACTCCTCGTCCCATCCGGATCGCTTCAGGTGCAGACAAGGACTACTTGAGCAATAAGGTTTGGTGGTTTGTTTTGTTTTGTTTTTTTTTCTGGTTTTCTGGTATTGGGACCAGTCTTCTGGACAAAAGAGCCATAAGTTGTGAGGAGATGTCCCACACTGAGCTGGGTGTATCGGGTAGCTAGACCCGAATACACTTCTGGTTATTTGGTGGTTGTTTTATTCTGTATTGGCTGTGGTTTTGGTATTTGGATTTGGAATATGGATATAAGGACGTGAGCTGAGAAATGATTATAAGTTTGGTAATACGAACTTTCATGTGTCTTGAATTAGGAACGGGTGGAGATAACAGTAAATATAATTGTTTGTTGTTTTGTGCCAGTGCTTTAAATCTTTATCCTATCCTCCCTGCTTGTGTTAAAATCCCCCCCACTATTATTTCCAGTCGATTTATATCGGTCATTAGATTCATAAAATGGGTAGAAATCAGAGCGGCAGCATTCTAAAGAAAAGTCCCTTAGGGTGTATTCTGGCACATGGGAAAGAAATAGAGGAACCACTGGGAGGTAGTGGAAATAAGAAAACTCTAATTAAATATTGTAATCAGTGGTGGCCCCTATATAAACTGGAAGATTGGGAAAAATGGCCTTTTAATTTATAATTTAAATTATAATACCCTCCTGCAATTAATGTTGTTCTTATGAAGGGAGAAGAAATGGGATGAAGTGATGCATGCTGATATGTTTTTCACTCTGTGAAGCCACCCAGAGTGGCAGAAGGGTTGTGGAATTAATATTGCACCTCAGGACTCTCTTGTTTTGTCCTTGGAAAAGGCACAAAAACCTGAGACACAGGAACAAGCAAAGCTAAGGAGGTGATGTTCGGCATGTAGTACTGGGCAGTGATGGCTGAAAGTTGTCAGACGAGCCGGGGGAGGTGGAGGATTGACAGGAGGATTTAGTACAGCCTTTCCTGCCTCCCCCTGCTTTTCCTCCACTATCTCCAGTATCATCCCTGTTGACCCAGAATGGCAGGGGTAGTAGCAGTGGAGAGGAGGAAAAAGGGGGAACTAGTGCCTCTGCCCCCACTCCAGTTATGACACGCATCCGGAGTAAAACCCCAAAGGAGGCACAACTCCTTGCTGCCTTAAGGGAAGTAATGGGTGCAAATTGGTCAGCAAAGGTAACGGTCCCATCCTCCCCGAATGATTTAGAAAACTGGAGAGGAATAGTTAAAGGGTACTGAGATGATCCTGTGAGAGTAGGAAGGAGATACTAATCAAGAATCAAGACTCTTACTGGTCAGATGTGGATTTGATGTTGGGAGAAATGACTGAGACAGAGAAAGTTTTAAAAACGGCTCGAACCCATGTGCAAGCTCAGACTACTGGTGGAACATTGCAAGGGAATGTAGGTGACCTGCACTGGGATCCAAATGACAGAAATGACTATAGAATGTTACGGAGATAGAGAGTTTGGATTAAATTGGGGCCAGACAATACAATCCCAAAAGCTGTTCAGTGGTCAGCTGCCGCGATTGAGAGACGGGACAGCAGCTTGATGCAAGCAGAATGTCAGTCATATTATGATCCTTCACATTTATACTAGTTCCTAGATGAGGTGTTACAAACTATTTGGTTTCTTCAGAACATGCCAAAGACTGATCGGTTTATATTCCACAGTATGCATTCACAGACTGGCTAATGCCAAATGCATTTTTCTAAGCACCCACTTAATCTACAACAATCTATCTTGGACAGAGACAATAGTTCCTCTTTTACGGGGTGATTGTTTTTTACAGCCTCACCCACCCATGACTCTTGTGTAAACATTGAGCCAGCACTCTGTTTCTTCTAAACAAAGTTCTTCTCTTATCCCTCCCAATGCTTGTGGCCGACAAGTTCCAGGACCTCTCCTTCTACCAGTTGTGCAGTGCTGGGGGTTTTGCTGAGAGCAGCCAAACCCTGCCCCACAGTCAGCACTTTACACTGCCAAACAAGGGTCAAAAGAAACTCCGACAGAATTTTTGGACCAGTTAAGGACAGCCATGAGAAAATGTACCACCCTGGACCCTTCATCCGATGTGGGGCGACAGCAGCTGGTCTCTGGTTTTGGGACAATCAGCTACTAATATAAGAAAAAGCTCCAGAAGTAAAGGAACCTAACATAAGGGACTTAGAAAAAAATTTAGAGGAAGCGTGGAGGGTTTTCAGGAACCGGGAGGATAAAGAAAAGGGAACACTAACTAAGGTTATGGCTAAGGCTACTATTGCACCTTTAGAGCAAAGAGGAGTATTTAACGAGGGATTTAGAGGAGATGGAAGAGGAATGCAGTTTGGAAATGGAGGCTTTGGTATGCGGGGAGAATGAGGTAGGGGATGGATTTTGGGAAGATATCGGTGTGCTCATTGTTGGGAAGAAGGACATTGGAAAAACGAATGCCTTAAATGTTCCTCTGCCCCACCAGCTTTAGTAGCAGGAACGGGTACATCGGATTGACAGGGACCTGGGGAATCTACCTTAGCAGATCCCCTGGTTAACATTAAGCTAGGGGGGAAGGAAAAGGAGGTAGAGTTTCTAATCGACACAGGTACCTCCTTTTCTGTCCTTAATCAAGAATTAGCACCCATAAGCAACAATTTTGTAAATGTAGTGGGAGCCACCGGCCAACAGGAAAAGGCATTCTTTTCAAACCCCCTTACCTATAAATTGGGAAAATAGAATGGAATACATCAGTTTCTCTATTTGCCAAATTCCCCTCAATCCTTATTAGGGCAAGATTTATTAGAACAATTGGGAGCAAAAATTACTTTTAAGCGGAAAGGGAAAATGGAGTCTAAGGTGAGGGATCAAAGGTTGATAGAGGTGCTTAGTCTGCCTCTGATGAATCCAGAAAAGACACATAAATTGGCACCGGAAGTTCAAGAAATTATTGATCAGGCCTATCTAGGAGTGTGGGCTACTGGGATGCCAGGGAAAGCCAAGAACGTACCCCCTATAGTAATAAAACTTAAAGAAGGAAAAGGACCAGTACAGAGGAGGCAATAGCCTTTGAGACTAAAGGACCGCAAAGGAATGGAGGGTCCAATTAATAAATTTCTGAAGTATGGGTTACTGATAGAATGTGAGTCAGAATACTGTTAGCGGTCGCAATCGCGAATAGAACTTACCTACCCAAAGCAGATAAGCTGGCACTTCTTTATTCCAGCACTGGGGAACACGGGGGATAACTCCGCCAAAGACGTGTTCATCGACAGGTACAAAGCACCACATATTTATACACTTTTTCAGCAGAGTCGTAGTTACATAGGATCAACAAAATTCATAAAGCTTAAGTTGACCTTTATAATGATTGGCTTTCAGTTACCTCACCGTACCTCTCTTCCTATTCTACAGAAATCATTGGTCATCTTTACTGATTGGTTTCAATAGAATGGGGGGAGGGCAATGATTAGCATATTCATGTTATTTCCTGGGAATTATTATCATATGCCAATGTCCCTAACGCATGCGTGGTTATACTGGACGGGGGTCCTCTGGTGCTCGTTGATAGTCTTCATCACTGTGTCGGCTGATTGAACTCCATCCCTGCACATGCTCACTCCATCTTTGGCTAATGCTCACCTTTCCCTTGGCCGATCTTCCCAACCAAACCAGTTTCTTCTGATACCTATTGTTTCAAGTCAGGATCCATAACCAGTAGCTATTGTGTTAATTCAGAGTCCATAACAATTCTTATAGTGTTCAAGGCACACAGCATACTAGTTGCTTACTCCTAAGGGCCTTAGTGTACTTTATATTCTCATAACTACTGTAGCTTCATGTTAAATCAAAATCATACTTTTAAACTAAAATCAAAAGAATATTCTGTTTTATTAAGGTATTTGCAACATTTCCCCCCTTTGAAAGTATTGATAATCATACTCAATACTTTCACATACTCAAACTGTAGTCTCATTGAATACCAAATTGTCATATGATGGTGGATCTTTCAATGACTTATCTCGTTGTCTTGCTTCTGCTTGTATAATCATTTGATTAAACTCTGTTTTCCGGGTTAGTTCTCGTTTTAAACAATGATAAGTTAAACCAAGCACTATGAACACCAGTGTCAAAGTGAGTAAAGTTTCAATTGGTGACTTTATTCATGAACTCAGACTCAATCCCATTCCACTGATAATTTTGCCTATCCAATTTTCCGACATATCTTCTCTAATCCCAGGGGACAGCAGAGACCTTTAACTTCTTAAACTCTTCTAAACGCCTGGACAGTTGGGCTGTTGCCACTCTTCCCACTGATAGGCTTTATGGAATAGCAAGGAGATGAAGACGGAGGGCCTTTCTCTTCCCTGTGGTGATGGGGGGCGTGCACTTCAGCTCAGAAGTCAGCAGCCCACAGGCCAACAGTGTTTCCAGTGTGAGTCCAACTCCTGGTCAGTGGCGAGGAGGTGCTGCTTGGGAGGAATGGTATTTAACTACAGCCAGCTGGGTCCCGGTGCAGTTTGGTGTCCGTGATACTACCTGCTATTCGAAGTCCTTGAGTTTACATGAACCTCCTGCAAATCAAATGTCTTCAGCATCCTTGCTACAGAAGTGGCTGCCAGCCCCCCCTGCAGCATAGTTTAATAATGTTTCCTGTATGTCTTTAAAACTGGAGAGCCCAGAAGGGATTTAGTGGGAGCTGTTAGCTGGGTAGGAGACTTGCTCTCCTGTGTTAGTGATGTCCCTGGCTTGGCTCACAATTTCAGCATTCCGGATCAATTCTCATTGAGTCCCATCCAGAACTGAGTATAGATTTTGAGGTGAGGAATGTGACCCTTAGCTGCAAAACAATCTTTGTGAAAAATCATCTACCATTTAGTCAGTATTTTAGAAGGAGTATTAACTTTTCAGAAGCTCTTAAATACACACTGGTATTGTAGTGTGCAGTTCTGAATAACGGCATCGGTTTGGTTTTCTCCTTTACACGGTCAGTGTGCTCAACATGTTTCTCTTTAATGAATTTTCTTCTTTCTTTCCCTAGCTGTATTCATATTCTTATTTGCCCACCACCTGCATGACAAGTGTTTTAGCCACCCACGGGGTGCCGATAGGAAGTGGCTCCTTCCTCACTGTTTCTTCGTGGGGCTCTGCAGACTCGTGGGGCTTGTTAGAGTCTGCATTTTTGTCTTGGTTAGGAAATGGTCATTGGTGCCTTTTGCCTAGCGCAGAGAGCAGTGTCAGCTGCTAAAAGTGGCAGAAAGAGGAGGGCATGCCCTGGGCCTCTAGACTGCTTCAGTGCTCACTGAAGAGAGGGGGGAAAGCCCAGGGGAAAAACTGGGGCTGGTGGGGAGAGGAGGGCTGAGGGGAGAGGAGGGCTGAACATCCCCTGAGGCCACCCAGCTCCAGCTGGGGCAGGACGGGCCTGGCGAGCCTCAGGGCTGTGCTCACAGGGCGGCCAAGTGGCTCTGGCAGAGGCCAAAGACTTGTGGCCTCCCAGAGGCCGCGGCCCTCCTTCCTCGGAGGAGTTTGTGTGGTGTCACGAAGCATGGGGCTGTGCTTGCTTTCGCTGGGGAGGGGCCAGGTGCCTTGTGTAGTGTTCCCTTTGCACTCCTGCTGTGCCCCGGTCCCCACTTGTCGGCTTTTCCCATCAGGCTGTCACAGCACCCCCAGAAATCCTCTTGATCCTCCCCTCCGCTGTCCTGGCCGCACGTAGCCAAGGCTGTGCTGCTTCCCAGCACTGCAGTGGGCACAGCACCAGCTCCTGCCTGCACAGCTCATTGCCTCAGGCTCTGATTGCTGAAGAGTGCACAGCTGAAAGCAGAGTGGAGAGCTAGTTTTAGAGCTTGGTGTGTCTTCTCTCAGCTGAGCAGAAGAATCTTGTGCTCTGTCTGTCTGTATCTCTCTCTGTCTTTCTCCTTTTTTCCAGATTTTTCAAATGACTGGCAACACAGGATGATGCATCAGCTGTCGTTGGAAACAATATACCATTTACCAATATGCTGGTATTTGAGAGCAGGGAAAAGGCATGCTTTTCACCATAGCTTAAGCCTGAGAGGGTGGTGTCTTTTTTTTTTTTTTTTTTTTTTCCTGTGCCGTTCACTTAAAAAAATACATTCTGTGTCATAAAACCCTACCTGCCTAACTTTGCCTTGTAACAGTAGTGACTATAAATGCTGAGGAAATGAGCGCTCCACCTTTTATCAGAGAATTCTCCTTGTATTTGCTATGTAATACAAGGAAGGGGTATCTGTGAGGCACATAAATGAAGACCTGTTTCAAAGCGCCAGGTAAGGCTGTGGGAAGGATCAACTGCTTGTTAGAGGCTTAGCATCTGCTGTGAAGCCTGCAGAGCAGCAACATGTATTACATTTTGTGGTTTGTTTGTAATTACTGTATCAAGCCACTTTGAATTGAATGTGTGATTATCTGTGTATTTGGCAAGTGCCAGAGACACCTTGATTGATCTGTGGTATGTGGCCAGCTCATGTCCAAGAATTCCTTAGGTCTTCATTTCCTTGGGTTTACTTGATAACTCCTTGCTAAATAAGGCTGGAAATGATTTTCTGTTGCCAAATTCTGTTGTGGCTGTTGAACTATCTATATTAAAAAAAAAACAAAACAAAACAAAACAAAAACAACCAACCAAAACCCACAACAACAAAATGGTGAAAGTAATTTCCCTTCCTCCTGTGAAATACCTATATTGTTCGTGTGAATGTGTAATAAACATAAGAAATATAAGCAATGTCATAATAACTGTAACTTTTGTTGTAGTCCTCGTGGTACTATGCAGCCGGTTGTGGGAAACAGTAAGTGTGTTTGTGCGTTTTCTTCAGTGGTTAGGCTACTGTTTGGAGATGTACACCACTGCCCTTCTGTATGGTCCTATGTTCTGGGCTAGGATTCCCAGGGCTGTTCCCTGTTTCTCATGGGAGAACAGCCAGAATAGCTCAGTAGTATCTGGTAGCCCCAAGGCAGGGGCCTCCATGAGCTTCCTTTTCAGTTGTTGGAATGCTCTTTCTGCTCCCCTGTTCCAGGTGAGGTCTTTCTGACTAGATTTCAACAGTTCATAGAGTGGCCTTACCTGGAGTCCGTAGCTGTATAGGTGACACCATCCTGTCATTCCTAGGAACGTGGGGAGTTCTTTAGCTCTCTGTGGTCGTGGGGTCTGACAAATAGCCGCCTTTCTTGCTGTGCCTAGAGACCTCTGACCAGCAGTTATCTCGTATCCGAGGTAAGTCACCTGCTGCTGAGCCACTTGGGCTTTCTGTGGAGAGACTCGATAGCCATTAAGTCTGAGGAGATTTAGCACACTGACTGTCCATACTGTACATAGTTCTCTCATTTATCTGGCTGTCAATAAACCATCCACATATTGTAGTATGACTCCAACTCCATGTGGTCACTCCCACTGCTCCTAGTCTTTGGATAATTGGTTTCCGAAAAGAGTGGGGCTATTTTTAAACCCCTGTGGCAACACAGTCCATGTTAGTTGGGCCTTTCTCCTAGAGTCAGGGTTTTCCCATTCAAATGCAAATAGCAACTGACTTTCTGGGCTCAAGGGTAAGCAAAAGAAAGGTGTCTTTCAGGTCCAGTATGATAAACCAGATCAATTCAAATGCCAGTTTAGTTAATAATGCGTATGGGTTTGCCACGACGATCTTCAACAGTCTTATTAATAGCTGTGAGATCCTGTACTCTTCAATAACTCCCATCTGACTTTTTGATTGGTAGAATGGGAGTGTTGTACTCTGATTCACACTCTGTTAACAGCCCAAATTGAATGAATCAGTCGATGATTGGTCACATTCCTTCCCTGTCTTCTCCATATGGAGGTATTGCCTAATTCTTATGGGCTGCACCCCTGGTTTAAGCCTAACTAGTATTGGGGAGGCATTTTTTCGCTCTCCCGAGTATCTCCAAGGCCCATACCCCCGGATATACCTGGTTCTGAACTTCCTCGGGTATTCCTGAGATAACAGGAGTATCTATAAGGGCCAGACTCAAAAGTTCAATCTAGTTGGTCATCTCCTACTCAAAGTTCCATTTTTCCTCTCTCAAATGTTATTTTTTGCTTTTAATTGTTGCAATAGGTCTCTGCCTAATAAAGGTTTCAGCGAATTAGGCATATATAAGAATTTGTGTATTCCCAACCGTTTTCCCAATTTAAATTTAAGAGATTTTAAAAAGTATGCCTTTTCACTTTAGCCAGTAGCTCCCCTTACCGTTACAAAATTATCATCCATAGTTGTTAAGCTTGATCCAAAACTGAAAATGTTGCCCCTGTATCTACTAGAAATTCTCTACTCCGTTGTCATGTCCCCAGCTTTAATGTAACAGTGGATCCGGGTAGGCCCCCCCAGGTCCCCGTCGATCTTCTTTAATGTGGGCCTGTATCCTTCCTTCCTCTTTCTGTCTCTGGTCATTCATTTTTCCAATGTCCACATTCTTTACACCATGCACACTGGTCTCTTCCTAAGGGCCTTTTAGGTCCCACGCTCTTGAATTCTTTTCTTTCTTGTAACACCATTACCAACACCCGCCGGTCTCTTTTTTGGCTATCCTCTTCCCTGTTGCTAAACACCCTCCGTGCCTCATCTAGTAAAGTCTCCAGGTTCCTGCTTTCTGCAGGCTTCAATTTCTGCAACTTCCTCCGGATGTCGCTTGCTGATTGTCCGATGAACAGAGACCCTGACCGCTGAATCCCTATTTCTGACCCTGGGTCTAGAGGAGTATGCCGCCTCATAGTATCCTGTAATTTATCTAAAAATTCAGAGGGGGTATCCCTTGGACCTTGCCAAGTGGCATATAAAGCTGACCAATTAATTGTTTTCAGGGTAGCCCGCTCCATTCCTCTTCCAACCCAATCTCTGTATGTATTCAGCAATCTTACGTGTGCCCCTCTGTTAGGGTTCCAACGTGGGTCTTGTAAGGGGAAATATTCTTTTATATCCTCCCCTGTATCCTTAAGAAAGTCACTAGCCAGATCTTGGACTGTTTTCAGTATCAGCTGTTTCTCCATTTCTGTCATATGGTCTAATAACAATTGAATATCATCCCAGTCACGATTATGCTGTTTTATCAGAAACTGGAAATGTTTAGTCACCCCCACAGAATCACTTCGATAGTTTTTTGCCCCATTTTTCCATGTTTCAAGATCAAATGAGGAGAAGGGAACCTTTATTAAGACAGGCTCTCTGCTTTGTCCCACTGCTTCCCTCAGAGGTGCTTGTACCACTACTTTTTCTTTTTTACTCTGGGTGTGAGAGGAGACTGGACTACCGAAGGGTTCCCCTATCAGTCCTCACTTTTCTCTTGTTGTATTTTTACCAGAGGTTTGTAATGTTCCAGCAGGTCTCCTGTTTCAGGATCCCTTATTTTCCCCAATCTTGTACATCTCTCACTTACACTGCATGCTGAACAACACCTCTTGAACTTTCCTTTTCCTTCCTTCATATTTTCTTTCTCTAAAGCCAAAACCATTGGATCCTGTGGGCTCATCAGTCCACAGGCTGTTTGGTACTCGGGGAGATTTTGGAGGGTAAAGAACATGTCCGTGTATGAGACTTCATCCCACTTTCCCTCTCTCCTCAAAACCAACATTAGTATGTTTCCCAGGTTCCCACAATACGCTCTTTTAAGCTGACCTGAGTGCTCAATTCTGTCCCAGTCAGACCAATTCCCTTGACATTTATTACACTAAAAATCATTTCCAAACTTTACCGAGACTTCTCTTCCCCATTAAAAACATGCGCTTCGTTCATCTCCTGCCGCTCTCCTCGCAGAGAACATGGAATTGCAGATCGGAACTCCACACTTGCTTCGCAGTCAGACTGCGTCTCGTTCATACAACAGTCACACAGTCACACAAAGAGGCCCCAGTGATCACAACATAAACCTCAACACATGATGTATGGTACCAGATTTTTACAACAGATTACAACAACAATGGTTGCAACCCCCTGCTCCTGCCACCGTGGCCAGGAGAACCCAAGCTACCGTTGGTCAGGGTGTACTACTTACCCTGCCACCACCTTTTGGGGACTCAAACCCCAGCCTCCCCGGGGTGAGCACCAATGCTCTTTACCTCGCGTAGGACGTCTCCTCAGGGCTTACAGATATCCCCTCCTAAATCCACATCCCTGGTCCCCCGAGGGTCCCTGTCTGCCCCCGCAGTGATCGAATGAGCGAGGGAGGTCCTCTGAGAAGCCTCGGGGCGCGCCTAGGACGTCCCCCTCTCAGCCAGTCCTGCGGCCGGGCAGAGAGGGTCCCACTGGGGTCGCCAAATTGAAGCGCGGAAACAAACTCTACAACTCACAAAGAGTCATAAAGCAGGTATGTTTATTGCAGCGCTGGGTGCAAGGGGGATCGCTCTTCCTAGCTTGCACACCAACAGCACACTTTGCCAAAAATTTATGCAATGCAGATATACATATTCATGGGATTACGCAACACAAACATACGTATATATGAGCAAGGTGGGCTTAGTTTGCACAGACTCAGATCTGTCTCTGGTGGTCATTTACTTCTTCAGGGGTCTTATCTTCCTCTTCCTCTTTTGTCCTTTAGATGAACTTTAGCCATTCACGCATGCTCTATTTGTACTTGGTGATCTCAGCAGCCTTTTAACCAGTTTTTTGGTCAAGCTGACACCGTTATTCTTGTTATCCCCCCCTGCGTCTAACACACAGTCCTTAGCGAATACCAGTCCCTGATAAGCTTAGGCACCAGTCTCTAATAAACAAGTTTCAAAAGAACACTCAAGGCGTCAAAATAACATTCAAGGCAAACAAAATTTTTCCGAAATTGCAAAGCAGTTATTTCCCTGTATCACTACTTGTGACCTTAGGTCAAGTACTGCTCTTAAGCTGTGCCTTAGGGCATTGAGAGCCAGGAGCTGTATGCTCTCTGTTTGGAGGGCATCTGGGCAGTGTCTGTGTTACAGCCTGGGTTGGGATTTTTCTGGAGCAGCCCCTTCTCTCCCTGATCTGAATCTAGGCATTTGAGAGATAGCCAGTACGGCTGAACAATCTGGCTTGCTAGGTGTCATGGTTTGAGCCTGGTCGGCAGCCAAACACAATGCAGCTGCTTGCCCACCCTCCGCCACTTGGGAATGGGGAGGGAATCAGAGGGGCAAAGGAAGACTCAAGGGTTGAGATAAAGGCAGTTTAATAACAGTAATAAAATAATACGGTGACAGTATAAATGGGTAATGTGCAATGCAATTGCTCACCGCCTGTCGACTGACACCCTGCCCGCTCCCGGCTAGCGATCCCATAGACAAATACAAAGCTTGACTCATTTGGGGCTCCTCAGTGTCTTCAGAAGTGACTCCTCTGGCAAACCAACGTCCCTGAGGACACAGCTGGTTTGTGGCTGTCGTGCAGAGTTTACTATTGGCTATTAAAACATTAGGAAGTCCTCTGCTGATTAAAGGATGAAACGAAACCTCTCAAGGTCTGCCACACACTGCATGGGGGAGGGCTGTCGTGGGCACAGCAAGTGGTCATGCACTAATTGGAGGCAAGCAGTTTTCTGCACTGTTTTCCAAAATGTGACCTGACATGGGTGTTTTAATACAAAAAGGGTCCCCTCTTTCCATTGGGTCTAATCCTCCTGCCC